GTGAGTCGCGTCGTTAAGTACGAGTACGCGACTTCTGTGTCGCGTAAGATTGCGTGACGTGCTGGAGGTTTGTCGCAGAGAGAAAGAGAGAGAGAGAGAGAGAGAGAGAGAGAGAGAGAGAGAGAGAGAACGGTACGCGTAACGAAATCGAACGCGAATTTAGCACATTGTACGCAACATAAATTGCACCACAGGACGCGCACACCTGAAGTGGATGCAAATGTGCAGAGAGACGCTCAGCAGTAAGAGGGAAGTTTTTCGCCGGCGTTCGAAGATGTGATAAACGCGAGCGAGAGAACGAGAGCTTTTTACGCGGAGCAGAACCGTAGATTCCAAAAGTGGTAAAATTTCAACAGGGTTTACCGATCGCGTACGTAGCGCGCGGGCGTGTGTGTGTGTGTGTGTGTGTGCGCACGCGCACGCGCAATCGATTCGTGTTTATCGCTATTCGAATCGTAATCGCTCGTTATCACGCCAACATGCGCGGGCGCAAGTAATTTTTCCCGCACGCGCGCGGCCGCTGCCCGACGCAATTTACAATTAACGCAACATTTTTCGCAGTGCGGTCGCGGCGCTCGCGCGAACTCGCGCGACTGATCATCTTCATCAACGTAACACGCGCTCGAGATAAAGCCGCTCTCTTGCCCGAGAAAGTATTATATCTTCTTCATGAACATCGAAGCTGCACTCTTTCGGTATAATTTTGTCATTAAATCCCCCTCGTTTTTTGGACACCCTCCCACCCTGCCGTCACGTCGCTGACTGATAAGTTGGAAGTGAGGAAGCAAAAGGCAGGGACGGATAATGAGACTTGAGGGATCCGCAGCTAATGATTCTTCGGCTTTCCTGACGGCGACGCGCAAAGACATGTCGACGGAAATCGGTCTTGTTTCCTTCACGCTTTACACATTTTACATTTCCGATCCATCCGATTGAACGTTCAATTTTACAGATCCCATCTCTGTTCGTACTTCGAATCTCTAAATTATACAGGTCGCGCGTTCGAAATTTATACATTTTGCTGAGCAAAGCGTGTACGATCGCAGCTCAGGTGGTTTTTCGAATCTCCCGCTTCGTCTTGTGCTCCCGCTCTTCCTGAACTCGAGCAAATCGACGGATTATCAAGGAGCGAGATGAATCCCGCGATGCTTCTTGACAAGTCGGAGAGCCGGAGCTTAAGTCTCATTAAGTCTCCGCGTAGTTACGCCCCTGACGGGCAGAGACGAAAGACGAGAAGCCGGTCAAGCGGCCGGAGGAGGACGACGAGAAGGAGGAGGAAGAGGAGAACGAGGACCGCGGATCCGGCGATGATAATGATTCCGACGATGATAGACGGCTCGTTATTACTATACGCGTTCGCGCGAGGAAGGGTGGGAGGCAGGCGGCCGACGCGTTCGTGTTTTAGAGCTGGGAGCGATTGGTCGACGCCATTACTCACACCGTTTGCGCCTGCCACATGGCCCGATAGGTCTCTTCTTATCCTTACCTTCTCCTCTCCTCCTTCAGCCCCCCTTCCCTCCATCGCCGCGCTCACCTTCTGCCTGCCTCTCTTTTTGGCCCTTTGGTCGTCTCTCTTTCTCTTTCCCGCCTTTTCCCGTTCCTCGTCAAGTCCCTCCCTACCCTCTTCGACTACTCTCTTCCATCGTTCGATATTCTTCGTTTGCTTCCTCCATCCTCCACCTTCTTCCTCTTCTTCTTCTTCTTCTTCTTCTTCTTCTTCTTCTTCTCTTTCTCTCCTGCGTTTCTCTTGCCCTCCGGTTCTGACTTTCAAGCGCGAGATCTGACGGCTGTATCGTACCTCCTTAGGGCGCGTATTTTATTTGGTGCGCCCTTCAATTACCTCGTACGCAATTCGAATGAAGAAGAACAATTGCTATATTAGATGCTCACCGGGCGGCGGCTGTGTTAATACATTTTACTCGCGACGATCGCAGCCGCTTGATGCAGCGATTTATTATTTTCTTCGAGGTGCACACAGGGCGGAGAAAGAGAGAGGAAGAGATGCCGGTGAGCCTGTTGCGCGCTGATAGCTGTTGCGCACGATGAGTGTATTTCGTTCTTTCGGTTTGATTGATACATTGTTAATCAATCACACGAGAACTGCTGTCTTGCCAGTCGATTTTTTCTCTAACAGCCTCGCAGATTATCTCGTGTTTTGATAGTGATGAAAACAAAGCTGGGAGGCAAAGGCAAGGAGCTGGGCAAGAATCGAAAACAGCTGCTAAACAATTCACCGTCGAATCTAAAAATAAAAATTTCTCTCGTACGAGCCGTCTCTCGCTCTCAGCCGCGAGTAGCGAAAGAAGAGAACGGAAGAGAGTGATAATTTTCGCGCGAATTCGCCGGCGATCGGCGATCGCGTGATCTCTCCTTTTCTCCCTCCACCTCGCGACTTCGGCACCACTGCCGAAAGGTCCGCGTTAACGCGTGCACATGCACGTGGAATGCGCCAATTGACGGATGGCCTCGACGATATCGATTGGCGATTATCGACCGGCATGTACCGCGGGTTCCTCTTCTCCGGCCGTTGGCCGACGCATCGGTGAAGCATGATGCGACATGACAGTCGGTTTGTACGTGACATTATAAAGATGTCCCCGATGCGCGGGGCGAGACGACGACGACGACGACGACGACGACGACGACGACGACGACGACGACGACGCCGACGACGACGACGACGACGACGACGACGACGACGACGACGACGACGACGACGACGACGACGACGACGACGACGACGACAACGACGACGACGACGACGACGACGACGACGACGACGACGACGACAACGAAGACGAGGACGACGGCGTGCGAAGCATTTACGAACATATACGCCGATCCATACATGTACACGCGACGGCGTGAGGTACGCATGTGCGTGTGCACGGGATCGCACGAGTGTGAGCTGCACACCAACGCAACACGCATTATCAGATGGCACTGACATACGTCTTCGCTGTCAGCCGATCGTTAAGGGAACAATCAGAGTCGCATCGGCCAGATTGACCCTTTTCTCGTCTCCTTTTGCGTTCCTCCTCCTTCGTCCCTCCCTCGTTCTCTTCCTTTTGACTCAAGTATTCTGTGTATGTCGCCTCGAACGATTGATATTATAATTGAAATTTTCTCAGCTTCTCTCTCTCTCTCTCTCTCTCTCTCTCTCTCTCTCTCTCTCTCTCTCTCTCTCTCTCTCTCTCTCAAACGTATGAAAAACGATAAAATGACGCACAATCGAAGGATCCAGAGATCAACCGTGAATCTTCCCTTCAATGTGGACTCTTGAAAAATAAAAATTTTATAACTTGAAAGCGTCTAAAAGGCTCACAGCGGAGGAAAAAATTCATGATCGCCTTCTCCGATGTAACACGTCCAAAGGTGCAACGGTAACAGTTTGGCGCTGTAGAAAAGTCGAGAGGATTAAGCTCCCCATCTTTTCCAAGCTCGCCTCGCGTTATTGGATTAACGTTAGTCAGCATGAACGCGAAACGAACGAACGGACGAACGGAGAAGGAGACCGACGAGAGATACGTTAAACGGTCGGACCATTCCTCGGCGGCTATTCTTCGAACGAATCGGCTAAAACTTTCAGTTACGCCCGATATATCTCAATGATTTCGAAATCTGAGGATTTCAATGATTTTTCAATACGCTCGCCGGCCGCGTATCCCTTCGCAAACGCGCGAAGGGATATACGACCACTTACAAGCCCCAGGTGCTCTCCCGACTCCTGCAAACCGCTCTCCTTTATTACGTGACAATATTGCGAACGCTTCTTGCGGGCAATAATGCGCCTTAAGATTCGCGCCAGATGTCACCGCGGATAGCGGGTCATATACGAGACCAAAATCTCAAATATTAGCGGAATCGAGGGTAGGAGCACATCCCCCTCGGTAATATCGCACTGTCCGACATCGTTCCGTTCTCTCGCGCTCTTCTATCTCGTGAATATCCGCCGACAACATGTGCGCGAAACGGCTTATAAAACTTTCCGCGAACATCACGCCGCGTCACAACGGAATTGCCTCCCTCTCCCTCCCTTCGGGTCACGATATTTTTTTTCTTTTCTTCATGCGGTCATATCAGAGAATCGCGTGATGTGCGATATTCTGACTTGATATTGTATGACGCGTAAATAGGAAAGAAACATTTTGTATCTTGACTAATGTGTTCTATAAAGGGGATCAGTTCTAATAAAAAAAGTGAAAGTGCTAAGTAGATTTTTAACACATTTTTCTGTATTCTAAAAGTTACGAAGGAATATTGTGCTTTGCATTGCCTGAAGCGCAAGACATCTGTACGCGATGTAAAAAAATGAATAAACTGTAAAGGCTTTACAAATAAAAAATAAATATAAATGAAATAATATATATTACATTAAGAATTATATATCCTGAATTAGTAAAACTTTAGTTTTTTACGTAAATCTGCACACACAAATGACATGCGAAGAATATAATATGAAAATGCATTCGTTCGATGCATCTATTAAATATTTCAACTGAAGAACAATAAAAATTATCGAAAAAAATATATCATTTTTATCACATCGCTATTTAATATTTGTATTTACTTCTTACCTTAAATGTAGTTTCATACGCGAGCTATTGGCATGATTCTTGATGAGTTTTACTTGATATCCATAGAAAACGGTCAGACTTGGAAAAATAACAAGACGATACTTTTAACCTGCATTTCGTCAACCTGTAACCGTAATAAATGTATGATTACCATCGATGGGTACTCTAAATTACATTTTTACTATCTGCTGTTTTCTTCATCGGTCTATTTGTAACAGCACCGATGGAGACAGCTTTACCTCATCTGATATCGTCAGTCGGTATAGTCAATTCATTTTCTGTTACACTACATTGCACATATACCGTTCTCTTCGAACACTAGTTTTGTTCTTTTTAACTGCACTGAGACTACTCTATTCAACACGATACTTTCACATACATTTCTTGCATCAGTGCAGGGAGTTTGATTGAAAAGAACAAACCTGGTTATTCCTGACAAAATGCCAGGAAAATATGTTGTGTACTTAATGTATTTATTTTTCTTTCTTTTACATGAATTATGTATATACATGTGAATCCAATATTTCGAGGTTCATTAACAGATGCGTTCAAAGTAACCAATTATTCACAATGTCACAATTATTTTCTTTCCTCAATGTGATGAAATAAAAAGTAGTACCTCCTGATGATGTACAGCTGAAAATTATCACCTCCCAACGCGAGCTATCATGTAGCACACTCTACTTTTAAACAGCTTCATCACATTGTCAATTCCTGAAATAACAAAATAAATGAATAAGTCTTCCAAATCCTACACTCGTCATATATATACATTTATAAAAACAAGTCAGTCTGCCAAGAAGCTCAACATGATTTCTATTCTGATAAAATATAAGAGCGAAACCATTTGACAAAATCATCATATTGTCATTAAAAAAGAAAGAAAAATCCAAGCACATGAAACAAACAAATACACATTTTAAGACTCACCATGATAGCATTAACAATGTCATTTTGATTGTTCTTAAGAGCTTTAATAGCTTTCCCTCGTGACACATTAGCTTGACACATCACCAAGTCAACGTCCTTTTCTTCCACACCTGTTTCATCCACTTCTTCTTCAGATTCCTCTTGTATAGGAGCAACAACCTTTTAAATAAAGAAATAAAATTAAACAATGTCACATGATGTTACATGTCACATGATGTACAATTGTGTTACTAAAGCAGATATAACTTACTGTAGTACTACCGCCAGCTTCAGTTGCTGGTACAACTGGTGGTTCCTTGAATTTTTCAGCAGCTGCTACTTGAGCTTGCTGGCTGAGATCCTCAATCTATGGAAAAAATTTTACCATATATGAAACATACATATGTAAAGTTGAACAGAAGTAAATAATTTTTAAATATAAAATCAGTCTGCCAAGGTATTTCTCAACAATGGATTTCTGTTCACAATAAGCGAAACTTCAATAAATATCATCATGATACAAAAATTTAAATAAATGTGATTCATATTATCAAATACAAGGTAAATAATCAGAGAGATTAAGTTTCTTACCTTGGCTTCACCAAACACTATGTAAGTATCTGAAGCTGGATTCTTCAAGACATCTGGTTTATTTATAACAAACAGAATGTTCTTTGATTTACGAATGGTCACTCTGTTAACTCCTTGTACCTATGCACAAGAACAAATTATTGTCTTTCAAAAGAGAAAAACTATCTTTAGGAAACTAAGAGAATCATATAAGTAATTAATTTACATACTGGTTTTAATCCCAACTTGCTCATCAACTTCCTAGCTTTCTTTTCACCACGGCTTTGCTTAGCCTTAGAAACCATATCAATTGGAAGTCCAGTGACAGCCGTGCCAGGAAAACTGACAGTGCCTGGAGTACCTGCATCTTCCAATTCAGGTATTGTGTCATCGGAATCTGAATCAGTCGCTGAACCAATACCCACCAACTCTACCTTGGTAGGCTCCGAGCTGGCTGCTTTGTCAAGTTCCGTTAATTCTGGCATCTTCACTGAGCTAAATGCAGAAAAACAAATATTTGTTAATTTTGCCTCAAGTTCCGTCAATTCTGTCATCTTCAATGGCTACGAACAAAAAGACGAACAAAAATTATATCATACACGACTCCTTTTTGATACGCGGGCAAAAGTTACATCCTTGTATAGGACGCTCAAGTACGTTACGTGCCGCGGGTTCATAGATTATGTCCTACCTATACAATCTTTGAATAACTTCTTTTGGTAAACAGAAAACAAAAGTTAATCTAGTATCGTGACAAAAAATTAATCTCGTATCGACGAACGAATACTGCGACGTGCCTCCTTCTTCCAAGAGTATCGTATATTATAAATGGAAGTTGTTATGGCGTCCGTAATATCGAGTAATCCGAGTAACAGTTCGACAAAATCACGTCGATATACGTTACACAATTTCAACTTTCACGCAACTCACAATACATATGTTACAATGCACTGCTTCAAGCACGAATATCACGTTATGATTTGTGTTAATCGTAGATCGAAACGTTATCACCGGACGCCTAAGAATTTTCAGAGCAGGCTGAAAATTCGTAGCGAAGGGCCTCGCTACGACTCGACGCTTCCGTGCGTATATCTATGACAATAAGATGTATCGCATGATATTATTAACGCAAATACCACGATTAATGCCCAATCTCGCGATATTTACGCGTTTTATTGTGCGTTACACAGTGATGCCGAAAAAATTATTAGATTTACCTGGAACGACGACGCGCGGACAAATTATCACTATTTTCACCGTGAATGATATGGCTGGTTCGCATACACGTTTGTGCGACTGCAGCGCTGCTGCTCTTGGAAATGCCACCGTAGTTTTGCGATATAGTCGAGGACGCAAAAGTGTAGACACTCTTTCCGATGTATTTTGCAACACATGCGAACATCCAATAGGAGATTCTATTTATCGCATGATTTTCAAAATATAAATTTTCTTTCCAAGTTCTAACAAAATAGAATAGATGCCAAAGACCGTCTGATTCATTATCAAATCGTACTAATTTAAGAATAAAAATCGACTGAACTTTGGTTGTTTAGTCCTTTTATTTGAAAGTAAAGTCTTTTCGATCCGTCGTTGAAATGTATCACCATCGTTGAAAGATGATTTATTATCACAATATTACTTATAATATACAAACCAGCGATATTAAATAATTTTCCATGCGAAAACTGATGTCGTGAAACATACTTCTTTTTGTTTTGTTTCCTCGGTCGTATTAACGTAGCACATTTCCATTCACTCCTCGCATCGCAAGTATCAACTGACATCAAATGAATCGTTCTTGTTGAGGCTTCAGCATGATATCGATATTCTGTGGAGCTGTGACATCGAGTAAATTTATTGTACCGGACGCTCGATAATTCGCAGAATATGCAGCGGATAATTTATCGTTGTCCGCCTTTGTCTCAGAGTTCAAAAACTTGCAACACATAATATACCAGAAACTTTGTACAATATTTTTAATCAGTCCTGAAAATTTAAAACGTTCAATAATTCGTCGCGTTTAGATTAATATTATTCATCAAATATGACATGCTTTTGCTGTTGTTTACCGCTTGTAACGAAAATTCCACCCACAGTGGCGCATAATTTTACTAAAAACTGAAAAATCGTGTCACGTTGTTGAGTCACTTTTATCTTCAGTGCGCTCATGTTATATTTGATAAAAATTCCTGGTACTCCGTGAGAGCCCTCATTATGGTTGATTGGTCTCTGATAATCTTTGACACTGTATTGGTATGTCTTAGATGTACTTAACAATGTTCTAATATCTGTAGGAACAACTTCCACAAAATATTGGTACAACATCATGTCTGGAACGGAAAACATTTTTATGTACATACACACACAGCCATCATGTCATTATTTTTAGTTTCATTGATTAAATCACTTACTATAGTCTGCAATTTTTTCGTCACCTTCAAGAGGATGCACAATGCCTGGACTAGGCCCGCCAAAAGAAAATCTATTGATTCTATGAGTAAAATTATAATCTCGGTCAGTCATAAATGCAGAAATATGTATATGACCACGAGGCACACTCAGGGACTTTCCTGTAGTTATATGGAAGTTCCCTGCCACCTTATTTACATTCAAACTGCCATGAATGCGACAAGCATTTGGCGGGTAATCAGGTTCATAAGATCTAAGCAGTGTAAAATATCATATACTTGTGTAAACTGATACAGATAAATTTTTCAAGGCATAATATTTGCACATACCGCTTTGGCATTTCGCTGTAAAGAGTAATTTGATTGGATTTCCAAAGCAATTCATGAATAGCATGATACTCTTCTCTCAAGTAGGAATTCATATGTTTTAAAGCTTCAAAATGTGCCCTTTGCTCCGGTGTTAATTCCCACCATGTGTCCTCCTGTTCCAGGGAATCATAGCCAAATACATTTTCTTCCATGGAATCCAAAACATCTGCACCGATACGACCACATGGCATTGCCACTGTTATATCAATGTTAATTTGTAATTTTGCATCAATATCAGTGTCTGTCTCGAATTTGAATTGTAATCTGCTATCAAGAAAGTAGCTTGTCTCGGCTATTATTAAATATGCAATGAAGCAGACTGTGAAGATGGAAACTGAAACAAAATGAAAAGAGAAAAGTCAACTAATTGCCTGGGCCTTTCTCTCTCTCTTTAATGATAACAGGAAAAATACAGGGCCGACTGATTGTTCAGGAATGCACATTGGACAAGCTCTGACTTACACGTTCCTCCAACTGCGGTTTTGTCAACATACAACTCGGGTACTTTGGGAAACGCGTCCAGTTCTTTGACTGTCTTAACGTTGACATGTCGTCGCCTCAGCATTTTTATGACTCGTCCGAGAATAAACGTCTATAAATTATTTAATAATACGCATCCACGGACGACTAACCTGCAACAAATGTTTACCACACTTAACTTCAAAAAATCAGTTGCTTTTAGCAACAGATACATATGAATTATTTACTTGTAACAATGTATCTTTCATCGTATTCAATGCGTTGCTTCAACCTCAGTTAAATAAAAGGACATAAATAAATACCTCATACATTTTTGACACGTGGATATGTCTTGACGTGTCACATCTATACAACAAAAGCTCCGAGCGATATTACCAACGTCGTAACCACTGCAAAAATTTTGCAGTGGAAATTGCTTTTTGTACTGAAAGATGGCACTACAATGGCGTAACAAGTGGAAACCATCATAATCGATATAAGAATCAACGTCTTACTCAATAAAAAATAATTATTTTATCATTTTTTAAATTGTACGAACTAGGAAAAGGAATAGAATAATATAATTAAACAATTATTATTATTACTAGTGGATAGTCTACTTATTATTATTAGTAGTGGATATTCTACTATAAATTACTTTATTACAATGTATTCTTTATATAAAAATATTTCATGTACAATGGAATATGCAAGAAATTTCTTTATTCGTTATACTAGCTTCACATACTTTGTAAATATTAATTATCAGTTTACAAATTAATCAATGTGATGCTATAAAAATCGTTTGTCAACCATTTATTCACACTGCTTACATCGTGTTATATCAAATGTCGTTATATCCCATGATAAATCTAACGTAAACTAACTTCTACTGTGAGTATAAAATGCAGGCGATTGTCAGATGAAATGCTTAATTCGCGTTCGGACATTGTTTCTTCGGCGAATTGTTATTGACCAATGATGTTTCCTGCAAATATAACAGACACGTGTTAAATCAAACACAACGTTTACTACTTATACTTGTCGCTGACTTCACTTCTTTTTTACTAATTTATTTCTCTATAATGTCTCTATAATTTCTCTATAATTTCCACAGTAAGCAGGTACACTAACATTTATATCTACCTCATCATCAGAAGCATTGACATAACTTCTAGCTTCTCTGAACCTCTGAATAATTCGCTCATGCGGCGACGTTGCAACAATATGCCGCGGATATTGGTATTCTTTCCTCGCAGGTGTTAAACCTGAATGAAAAGAAAACGTTAGATTAATCCGTTTTCTTTGTAGATTTAGCAGCACATGAAAGTCAGGAGCTTACCGGTTGGCGTATCACGCCGTACATCTTCAAGCAAGAACTTCTCGACCTTTTGTTGTATCGAGCGCAATTGCGTGACAATGTTATCGTACCATTCGGCCGAATTTTTATTTTGAGTACTGATCTTGTCGCTCATATCCGTAGATATTAGTGTATTCCGGTTTCTTAGATTCTCCAGAAGCTTCATGTGGTCCTCACTTCCTTGTAATAATATATCATAGATATTCTGTAAAATAAACATATATGATAGCGTATAGATTTTGCAGAACCATAATTATAACAACACAAAAAGTATAAAAACTTACTTTGACAGTTGCAGTAGAGGTGGCCTTATCTTCCTTCAACTTATCCTTCAGTTGTTTCATATTTTCTACGGCATGCAGTTTGTTCTTCATTATTGTGTCACAATTATTGGTTAAATCAGTTTCAAGCTCATCGATCGCACTACGGCCTCGAATCACGACTTCTTCCGCTAATGTCAAATTCTGACAAAACAATACAAAAGAATTAACTCATATGACTTATGTATGTTAATAATAAAATTTTAATATATCATTCTGCTTTGTGCGATATTTATTAATTCGGGAAAATTGAATATCACCTTTTCCATGCTAGATCCAATATCGTCCTTGAGTGTACATATATCGTTCTGAATTTTCTCTTGCATGGTCGAGTTTCTTTCAACAAATTTTTCATAATTAGCGAGAATTTCGTTATTTGTACTGTCGCAAAATACATTAACACGACTTAATGTGGAACATGCTGACGAATAATTTTCACTCATATTCTCATTTAACTTGTTGAATTGTAACCATAAATCTTCGAATGACTGTAAAATAAATGTACTAATAAATAAAAATAAATATAACATAATATATAGTTTATGTGTAAAAGTAAAATAATTAAATTTACTCATAAATATTAAACACAAATGTTCTATGAATTATTGAGTGCAAAAATTTTGATGGATTTCATGATAGAAAGTAATTTTATTAAAAATTATTATTTATCCTACTAAGTAATCATTTTCTATTATCCAACGGTATATTATATATCTATATATTTGTAAATGCTGCCATAAAATTATATCACACACAATATCTTTGAAAAACTCATCAAAAGTTTTGCACTCATTATATATTATTAAATCGCAATCATACTTTTTTAAACTTTTGTTGCTCTCCCATAATTTTGGAATCACCTTCACAAACAGTTTGTATATTCTCTTTAACCTTTGATATGCTTTTATATAAACTTTCTCGTTCCTGCAGTTTATAGTTATAAAGCTGACTTATTGATTCTTTCATGTATGTTAACAGTTTGTCCAATTTTTGAGTTACGTCTTCATTTAAAAGCTGTAAGTTCTTCGTAATTTCATTTTGTATCAAATCGCTAATTTTTGCTGCTAGGCTCGATGATATGTCATTCAGAAATTTACATTCACGATCAATCATATTTGATGAATGTTCAATTTCTGTATCTAATCGTTGCTGATAATCTTCATGCTAAAACAAAGAAATGTATTCACCAAAAGCTCTTGAATTTTTTTCTCTAGTAAATATATATATAGCCTACCAACTTATCCATGTTCGTTATAAAGTTATCTAGTAAAGGTTTTTCTTTATTAACGATATCATTGGTCATATGTTGTATCATCGAATCTATATCTTCCTTGTACAATTTCACCTGTGCATCTAAAAGTACCGCAATGAAAATATCTCATAGTATACATTTAGAAACATGCTAGTAATTTTTTGTTTACCAATTTCGTTTTTTCTAGAGTCGCAAAATTGTCTAAATTCTTGTGTGTAAAATGAAAGATTATTTTCAACTTCCTGAAATTGTTTGGCAGTATTACATCGGAATTGATGACCGAGATGTTCGTTTTCTTGTTCCAATTGTCTGTAAATACACATATGCATTTTAAAATAATTATGATAATAGCATCTAACATGCACACAATTAATGTTGACATTTATATAATAATAATTAGTATCAAATATATATAATTACCTTTTGTGAGAAATTTTGTCATGAAGCTTATTTACGTCAACTGTCACCGCATCAGCAACAGTTAAAAGCGCTTGTGCTTGCGAGAAGAGCTGTTTTTCAGTGGACACATGTTTCTCTACTAAATGGGATTGTTCTTCTTTCTCACGTTCCGTCATTTGTAAGCGTACGGTAGTTGAATTCAAAGCATGTGTGGTGGTTTCTAATAACTCTTCAGTATCTTGTAGTTGATTAGCTTGCTCCACATGCTTCGTTTGTAACTCATTGAATATTTGCTAAATAAGAAGCAGAATGTTAGCATTTTCTTCTAGGAAAAGTAATGAGGGTATTGTTATGACGAAAAATGTTATAAATCAATATTAACACGTATCTGAATAAAATATATATATATATATGCATTTACCTCTTTAGCTTCCATAGCTTCTTGGAGCACTTTAATGTGCGATATTTTCTCTTCAATTTCCTTGCTTTGATTTTCAATCAAGGATTGCATCTCATTATAATTATCTTGCGCCAGATATACACCATTCCGTTCACGTGACGCTAACAAATCTCTCCTGAGTCTCTCGATTTCTTCTGTATATTCTTTAAGTAATGCTTTCTTAGACAATTTCTGATTAATCTCAGGGCGATTTGTAATATTTTTAGCTCGATGAGCGTAATCCAATGTTGATAATGTCTCTTCAAGATTTATACTCGCTGGTGACACCGTTGCAATAATTGATGTTTTCGTACGTCCACCTAATGATTCTTGCAGAAGTCTTGTTAATTTTGATTCCCTGATCAATAAGATACGAGAGGATTATTAATCTCCACATCTAAAAACTTTAATATTACTTTTTTAATTATATATCCTACGTGTGTAAATTTATATTACCGATATGGTATGTGAGGTGCTCTCTCAACAAGTGCAGTTATAACTCGACCAAGGGTTAATAAGGATTGATTGATGTTTCCAGCTTCTCTCGCTCTCCTGTCAACTGCACCAGACCTCCCAACATTCTCACTCCCAGCTAAGTCTACCAAGTTTAATTTTCCTGTCTTCAAGAGTTCTTCCCCATCCATATTGTTCTCTTTTATATGAATAGTAATCGAAAATACTGTATGAGAACGGCTGAAAATATTGTATAAAAGGATGATGATAGAAACCAGTATTATAAAATGCAGCATTTCACCAGATAAATAAATGAAAGAATAAATATTAAGAACAAATTTATATAAAGACAAATTTATAATTTAAAACAAAAACCTTGAATGAGCGTTCATCAGAGTTGCAGCTGTTTGTCTTCTTTCTGATCCTTTCTCTAGAATCTTGTAAACTTCATTCTTGTTGTGCACAGTTACTTCCTCCAATCCATGAATGATCACTGAACCTTTCCTTGTAGCATCTTCGTATAATCTGTAATCACAGATATAATATAGTATCTACCTTTTTATATTCAATTATGATCACAAAACACAATTCTAAGTTACCTTATTTTTGATGCATCATCACTGGGAGATAATAAGTCAAATAATTCTTCATTATATAATTCTAAGAAGCTGACTCTTACTGTGAATTCTTGTACTTCCAACAAACGTAACTCATCAAACAAGTGACTCAACGCACGTGGTATAATTCCAGCTGATGTATCCTATGCGCACATAAGTTTAAATTATACAAACATACATATATATGTATATATATATTGTTATATTAATCTTAACAAATTATAAACTTACACTCTGCCAATGCAATGTTGGATCATTACTAACACCTTCCATAGTAAATGTTTTGCCTGTTCCTGTTTGGCCATAAGCGAATACTGTACAATTGTATCCGGCCAAAACTTCTTCAAGCAATGGATTAACGACTGCATTATATACATCTATCTATAAATTTCAAACACATTATTTTTTTCACCTAGAAATTTCTAGCTTTTTGCAAAACAAATAAATATTGAGTCTCTATATACCTGTTTTGATGTAGGTCCAAATACTTTGTCAAATGTAAACTTTCTGGAATGCTTATCCAATGGCCTTTCACGTACCACTACTTCTTTATTAGATGGTAACTCCAATACGGAAACTGATTTCCCAACTTTCTCACTATTATTTATTGGTCTATTGAGAAAAATACAATTGTATCACATAAATATGATCGATCAATATTAATATAAAAAAGTTAAAGAAAGAAGATAAACATGATATTATTAAACATATTGTCGTTTCATACAATATTTTTATCCATATTAAGATAAATGAAATATTATTAAAGGAAATAAGAATCGTAATTCAGAAAAAATGATTTAATACGCCTTTCCATATATACGAAATTTAGCTTCTCCCTCTCAAATGTCAGTCAGCGTCTTCTTCGAATGATTGTTATTGCTCACCTGACACGTGCAAAGACCTGTATATGCTGATTCTTCTCCTTCTTAATGTTACGTATATCGTTCATCTTGAACGTTTACTTACAGAACAATTCTCGAGACACAACAACTTCTCACTATAGTACAATTCTTACAATTTCACGTTTGTTACGACAGCACAATTTACCTCACATTCCTCGTCCGCGACAAAAGTGTAAACTATCCGTTGAAGATTTGAATTGAGCTGTTTCGTGTAGCCACTAACAGATGGAGAAAATGTCGGTTGCGATGCATAATGGGAACAAAGAGCTTTATCAAGCGACTTGTGATTCACGAATATGATTGGTGTATACTTTTGTGTCTGTTGGCACATCGACTGACCGGTGATCTTTCCGTTCCGCCAAATACAACCATTGGATGGAGTTTTTGACAATCAATAAAAAGTGGGGAACATAACGGCGATGTTTCGTGGCGCTTGATTTGAGCTAAGAGAAAAATGGTCAACTCTCTATACTCAAAACGCACATTCGACGCAAGAGCTTAGACCAATGTTACGTGGCACCTTTATTATTTTTTATAATGCAGCGACAATTAGATAGAATAGGATTTCTCTTTAACAGAAGAAAGGAAAAAATAACAAGAATTTCAGTTCAATATATATTCTTATGTATTTCTTTGTTTCCTTTATTATGCTTCATGATAACTGATTTATATCATATTGCAATGATGTAAGTTCATATTTACACATTTACAATAATGTCACCAAATGTGATGCATTTAATGATGTACTGTAATTTCAAAGCTCTTTCAAAGCTTTTTGTGTTCATTATATATATATGTACAATTGGAGCTTCTAGCAGCTGATTTACAATTCTGCTTCAAACGTATATTTTTTATAATGAGCTAATTCGCTGATACTTTCTTTTATATCATCCAGTGCTCTGTGTTTCAACTTTTTAGTTGGTGCTGTTATATATACATTCGAACTCCATCTTCTAAAAATTATAAAAATGTACTTACACAACTATACTATAGTAATATTCTATTGCGATTGTCCAAAACATTTATTACACAATAAACTAATTATTAATTTCACTTGCATAAAGAAAGAACATCAATAAAATAGCTTATTGATACAAAACAGAATTATACCTGTGAAGTTCCTTAAGTGAACTAACATCAATGATCCTATAGTGTAAATATTCATTTACTGACGGCATATATTTGTATAAAAATAAACGATCCATATAGACAGTGTTTCCAGCCAATGGGCATTTACGTTTAGGTACATATTTTTTTAAAAAATTGAGAACTGTAGTTTCAGCTTCTTTTAGCGAGATCTTACTTGAACGGGATTCATTAATTAATCCATTCTGAAATCATATATGTATAATACATATATGTATATACAAAAATATTCAAAGAACATTTATTATTATTTATATAAAATCAAACTCACAATTTTATGATTTTTCATACACCATTGGTGCATATTGTTTAAAATTGTGTCTGGTTGATGTATTACAATATTCAATTCCTCACTGATGATTTTTAATGCTTCATCTGTCACAACACAGGCAATTTCTAATATATGATCTTTTTCAATATTAAGTCCAGTCATCTGTAAAAATAGTATAATTAATTTATAATTTCAGATGTATCTGCCAATAATTTCTGACATGAAATATTGTAACATACCTCCATATCGATCCAAACGATATGATCAATGAAATGAATAGCCATTTTCTGTCTATAATATTAAACTATAAAAAGAAGTAACGTTTGTATATGATTGAAGAAATTAAAATATTGAACGCTTTTCGTATATTTAAGTTATTCTCACAACTTTTGTCAGTTTTGAAACTTTTCTGTAACCAACCGCACACATAGAAGAAAGAAACGACATTCAAGCTAACCTAAAATTACATGTTGGTAAATTTTAAAAGTCACATGCTCCATTATAAACACATACGTTTATGAGAATTTAAATATGAAACTTACCTGATGTAACGATGCAAGATATATGCCAACGTGAATTTGTAAAATGCTCAATTTATAATTCTTAAATGTATATAGCAGCAAAACGTTTTCACCCCAGCAATACTTCGGTCAATAATGCTAAAATCGACCTGACTTTCACCATTTCAGACATGCGCTTTCCTCAACGAAGTACAGGTTCAGATATACGAAGTGAAATCATCTAATTGCATTATTTAACTATAGGAGAAAGACACGTCTCTCTTTAGCGTTTCTTCGAGTAAAAAAAAAAGGGAAAAATAGTATTATTTAAACGATGCAACTTCATTTATAATTTTTTTACCATATATTTGTAAAAATATGCTATTACATATATTCGATTTGTAATGAGTAAATAGTTTAAACATGACGAAATAAAACGATCATAAGGATATTTTCTCACAAAATATAACGAATGAAATACAAATACATATATTAATATCCTTTTTTTAAATATTTTTTAACATATTTTGTATAGTGTTCTAATTTGTCAGATGATAATCAATTTCGGTCTTTAATGTTGTAACAAGTTTCCGTACATTTCTTTGTTAGACTTTTAATATTGATGATATATATAATGTAAAACCTAACAATTCTTTCAATTATATTTTCTCTTTAATATGAAATCACACTAAGAGCATCAAATCAAATAACAAACCGTTAGTTTCAAAGATAAAGGTGAAAGTATCAGACATTCGAAAATAAAAGATTATAGAAGAGGAATAGGAATAGGTTAGGAAGCTTCTACAAAATCTCCGAAGGACTGTTGGAGGAAACAAAGATAAATATTCGATAGTTATTGGAAACGGAGGATAGTGCGCGCTATAGAAATTGTAAAAAGATTGTTTTGTAAGGCAAAGACAGACTTTCTTTTACATATTTCGAAAACATAAAATATGTTTGATCCGCATCCAAACTAATTCGAGGAAAAATTATATTTAATATCGTTGATCAACTTTGCTCCTCCTTCAAGAAGTGCAACAATCAAAATATTATTGCACAGTGTATGCGTTTATAAAATGTGCAATTTGTAGGGAATATTTGTTTCACATGTTTTTATGGCATATCTGACAAATTACAACACTATGATGATGACTTATGAACACTATGAAATGTATAAAAATATTTAAGAAATTAATGTAACTATCTGTATATCATTCGAATATTGTTATATTTATATAAAGAAAACAATTTTACATTTAAATAAAAATATGTAATGTTGTCCTGTACATATTAACATAATAAATATGGATTTATTAAAAGAAATATATCGAATCTGAGAAAACTATGTTACGTATATTATCTGTTGTGCTACGCGCTATTGTTTAAAATGGCTGTTTCGCTTCTACTTATTTGTCGTACATTATGGAATATTTGAATTTAAGTATGAAAAAAATACTAGTGGAGCATTCGAATAAAAACTCGTATGTATATTCGTTCATTTCCGATATACTTTTATGTTATGCAAATGATCAAAATCAACCCTCCAGTCTGCTTCTTTCCTCTCTTGAGTTTGGTGAATTTATAAAGTACAAATAAAATTTTTTTCTTAAAGCTTGCGAAATGTGAGAATGTCGGACGTATGAGTAATTTGTGGCCCTGATAAGGGCCGTTGGTTGAGAGCAACTGTTCACTTGGAGCTGGTGTACTTGGTGACTGCTTTGGTGCCTTCACTCACAGCGTGCTTCGCCAGTTCTCCGGGCAATAGAAGTCTGACCGCAGTTTGAATCTCTCGAGACGTGATCGTCGATCGCTTGTTGTAATGCGCCAAGCGCGATGCTTCGGCAGCGATACGCTCGAAAACATCATTAACGAAGCTGTTCATGATGCTCATCGCCTTGCTGGAGATTCCGGTGTCGGGATGCACCTGCTTCAAGACTTTATAAATGTAAATAGCGTAGCTCTCTTTCCTCTTCCTCTTCTTCTTCTTGTCAGTTTTGCTGATGTTCTTCTGGGCCTTACCGGCCTTCTTCACCGCCTTGCCGCTCGCTTTGGGTGGCATGATGCTCGATCTCTTCGCAAAGTAACACTCTGTTAAGCTTCAAGACGAGTGTCTGTGAAGGAAACGGTTCAGCGCAATCCTTATATACAGGAAAGCGGCAGCAGCAGCGCACCAATCGCGTGCTGCGCCTCCGCCAATCGTTACGCTCGCGGCACGCCATTGGTCGCGCGGAGCACCTCGCTGCGGGTATAAATAGCTCGCGCAGAGCAACCTAGCTCTCACACTCATTTGACGCATTGTACGTAGAGGATCTCTAACGAAGTTCTATCGCTCGAGAAGATGTCAGGACGCGGAAAGGGTGGTAAAGCCAAGGGGAAGGCGAAGTCTCGCTCCAATCGGGCTGGGTTGCAATTTCCTGTCGGACGTATCCATCGGCTTTTGCGAAAAGGCAATTATGCCGAACGCGTGGGTGCCGGTGCTCCGGTTTATCTAGCAGCTGTAATGGAATATCTTGCTGCTGAAGTATTGGAATTAGCGGGAAACGCTGCACGTGATAACAAAAAGACCAGAATCATCCCCAGACATCTCCAACTTGCCATCCGCAATGACGAGGAGTTGAATAAACTCTTATCCGGTGTTACCATTGCTCAAGGCGGTGTATTACCAAATATCCAAGCAGTTCTCTTGCCAAAAAAGACCGAGAAGAAAGCCTAACAAGCAAAAGTCAAACGGCCCTTTTCAGGGCCACTAATTTGAAACGAGGAACATCTTATTCACAATAATTTTCTTTACGGCTCATATTTAACAAAGAGATGAAAACATTATTATAAAACAATTCTCAAACTGATCAATCCTACGAAAAGCATTTGTAACTGTTGCAATTGTTACAAATATTAATTGCATTTGAACCCGCATGCTAATTTCAATTTTAGTTTTGATCTTAGTTGTATATCTATATTAGTCCATTAATTTTAACGCATTTTATTCCTTCTATACTGAGAAGAAATTGTATTAAAATTAAACAAATATTTGCTCGAATACGACTGAATACATTTACTTAAATTAAACAATTTTCTAAAATTCGAGAAAAAAGTTTACATTCAGAACCTTTATATTTCATTTTAGAAATTAGTCGCTTAATTTGAATAAATGTATATTCACAGTCGTATTCGAACAAATATTTATTTAATATTAATACAATTTTTTCTCAGTGTATAACTTGGATTTTTTTTTGGAACAACTGTCGTCGGAAGAATCGAAGCGACAGTTTGCTTATCTTTCGCACGATATCATGTCGATGAGACGTGATTTCTAGAAAAACGGCGTGACAAAAATCATAAATAAGAAAGTTTCTAAAATTACCGAAATAAATGTAAACATGGAGACAAACTTTTTTTTGAGATCAACCGTCGTCGAAAGAATAAAAGCGACAGTTTGTTTCGCACGATCATGTCACGTCGATAAGACGTGACTAATAGATATTATAGAAAAACGACGTGATGAAAATTATAAATAGGAAAGTTTTCAAAATTCATCTACCAGTCCATCATGGGTCTTACGAGTGCTAAAATATTCTTGTGCGCAGCGTTTGCCTTGGCATTATGTCAGAATGTTCTAAGCTTTAATAATCCTCCGGACTTTTATTTTAAAAAGAATGACAGTGTCGGCTATGACATTGTTACAGTCATAAGTAAGTACAATAAGCTGTGCTTATTCGAACGAACCTAAATACATTCGTTTGCACAAAAACGTGCAGTTTTAACAATTGTAATTAAGATTCTATTCAATCGAATTTATAGAGTTGTCCATCTTTGAATTATGATGCTATCAATCTCCAAGAACAAATCGGTAATATTTATATTGCAAAATACATAGACGCGGACATGCAAATATCGTAAATGTATATTCAAATATGTACCTCTCCTTCACCTTTATTACAAAAGAAAGAGGCGATTTACAACGTATATACACGTGATGTAATTTCTTGTGAATTTCCATGCATGCAATTTCATAATACATCCTCACATCTTTGATAAAGAAGAAACAGAACATGAGGCGACAGATGTTGTTGGGCGGACCTATGCGATGGAGCAGCAATTTCCATTCATGGCGGTGGTGCATAAACTTTTGGGCGCTGGAAAATTCACCCAATGCAGCGGTTCGATCATCTCCAACAGATGGGTTCTCACAGCCGGACATTGTTTGGATATCCATCCAAAGGAATATCTCGTGGTGTTCGGTATCACCAATAAAACCGGCATAAAGTACAACTTCTACAGCGGCCCGGGCGTGGCGATGATCACGAAGGAAGCGTTTCGACACCCACAGATCAATGACATCGACTGCGACATCGGCTTGCTCTATATGCCGCAAGACATCCCGTACAGCAGTGCGTCTGCTTTGAGTGAATGTCTCTATTCCGAGGGGAGGATCGCGATTAAGTGTGTGTCGTTTCTTCATTTTCAGAAACCATTCAGCCGATAACACTCGCCGACGGCTCTTATGAGAAGGTAAACATCAACGGTAAACTCGCGGCAGTGGTGGGCTGGGAACGCGATTCGTTGACCACCCAAAGTTCAAAGCGTCTCAAGTACATCTTATCAGCGATTATCTCGAATGCCGAGTGTGAAAAATATTGGGTGATCAAGAACGTGCACATTTGCACATTAGCGATAGAACACGACGAGGCTTGTCAGGTGAGATTACCCTTGCAAAAATACCCTCGAGACTTATAATCTCGGTTAATTTTATAGTGGTATTCACTCGACTATGCAAATAATTCAACTTTGACGGATTAACGGATTAAGAATGAATAAAAATAAAAATGAAGATCCAGAGATGCATGTTGTTACTCTGAGATTTCTCGGTGATTAAAAGCTTTCTCAAATTTGTTTGCGGTGATCAATTTCAGGGAGATAGTGGCGGCCCGCTTTTCATAGTTGATAATAACAAGTTCATACAAGTCGGCCTTATCAGTTATGGAGGACTTTGTCGTGGCACTATCACACCTAGCGTGTACTTAAGAATATCCACATTTGAATCATGGTTGAGAGCACAAGAAACCAAGATGCAAAAAATCATTACTTTTCTCTATGGCACTCCACGATGAAATCGAAAAATCAGTAAATTTTTATTAAATCAGACTGTAAAAAGTGTATTCAATAATAAGACTCACATAATGTAAATATAATACGTAGGAAAGATTATTTACATATATTTAACACGTATCGAATATATACGAAAGTAAGAGAAAAGGAAGTAAAAGTATATATTCCTTTAATATTATTTTATTTTGTATTAATTTACAGTAATACACGAGACAAGAGAACTTCTGTGTTTTATCATTTTATTTTCAACAACCTATTGCGTATTCATCCAGCTATGACAATGTTACACCGATTACATAAAACTTTGCTGCAGATAATATTCTTCATGTTTAGTTCTCGACAGTCAATTAGTCCCAAGTTAAGAAAAACATCCTATTCCTATCTATCCGTCTTTTCCCTGTCTATCCAACACATAGCCGAACATGCCGTCCAATATAGAACAATATGACAACAAGATTTGTAGATATAAGAAAAGAAAGATCAAAAAACGAATCGGTCAATCACAGTCACAGAATTCTCGAGAATCCAAAATTCTTCTAATACGGCACCTTCAGAGAATCGCCCGAGGGCGATTTCATTTATGCGTTATATCTGCCCGTAATAAAGCATTTTATATCATTTTATATAATACTGAACTACAGAATGCAATGACAAAACACCGTCCGATCACTGTACCACACATGTGTGACGTTGTCGGCGAATGTTGTTAACAACAACGATGCCGAACTTTGACCGACCGCAGTGTTGTTTGACTCAAATAACTAAAACTAACGTCGAGCAAATTATAATACATAATATTCCCACAGATCTTTCGATTTCATGGATTATACAATTACATGTATGACGACTGATCAATTTTAACGAACGATTTGCCGATTACCGACAATAAAGACTTTAAATCGCTCAATGCCCAACACCGAATAAAGTATTATTCCCTGAGTATTTCACGCGGCTTGCTTGGAATGACACATGTCCACTAAGTACGGTGGTTGGTCGTTTTCACATACCCAGACTGTACCGTTTTCAGCGTTCTGTATAAGATGCAGCATCGCGCGCGACACATTGTCGGGCGCCTGTTGCGACCTGAGTAGCGCGGCCTTTTCGAAGATTTCAGATTTAGCGCAGTCCAAGACAGCATTCTCGAGCGAACCGCTGACCAATGACGTAGCCGTGACTCCCGGACATAACGTGACGATGCGCATTCCGGTCTTGTGATAGAAGTTCGCCAGGGACTGGCTGAAGCCGACAACTGCGTGCTTCGTGGCACAGTAGATCGGTACCATGCAGTTCTGCGCGCTCAAGCCGACTATGGACGAGATGTTGATGATCAAACCACCTTTACCGCCCATATGCTTCCCCATGTAATCCATAGCCAACAGTGAGCTGCGTATCAGCGATGTGGTATTCAGCTCGATCGTCTGCTCCAGCTTATTGTCGTTCAGCATCCCGGCGTTGTTCACGAGGATGTCGAGGTAGCCGAACGCGTCTACGATCTTCTTGAACGTCTCCTCGTACTTCTTGACCTTCGTTATGTCGCAGGGGAAAAAGGCGACGCGACTTTTACCGTATTTCCTTTCGAACTCAGCTACCTTCGCCCGATTCTGCGATGTTGGCAAGTCCACGATGGCGACCTTTTTCGCGCCGTTCTCCAGCACTATCTTGACGAATTCGCTGCCCAGACCGCCGGCTCCACCGGTGATCAGCACGGTTTTGTCCTGTACATTGTCCATTGTGCGAGCACATATATTTCTTGTTTTTCTTTCTTGTCAACTTCGCGCGAAGAAGTTCGATCGAATAATCATGATGCATTTATCTACGTCGGTTTAAATACCGCTGATAAAATTATCGAGATGCTTTTATCTTGTTCATTTCGTCATGTCCTAAAACATGATTTAGTACGTCTTATTTTGAATTACTGATAAAATTGTTTATCCATGAGCTTTATCAATTACGCAACTATTGTGCTAATAAAAAATATATTTCGCGATTCTAATCATAGATATAACTACAAGTGCACACAAACAGTTGCATACTTGATATAACCAATGATAAAACCAATGAATAAATATTTTCTATTAGTAGTTCAAAATAAGACGTAAACGTTTTCTGCATTTGCATGCTTATCAAAGCTTAGCAAGATAAGCAAGGTAAGCAAGATAAGTAAAGATAGAAAAGAAAAATTGGAGGAAGAAAAAGTGGAGCAATTAAGATAAGTAAAACAAAACGGATACTTGGTATTTCCACTAAAAATTGATTATTCATTGATCGGTGGAACCTGTAATAAGGAAATATCTGTAGGATAAGAGATATAATAAAAAAATACTTGTAGGAAAAAATAATGTATATGTGTTGTATTAACAGTCTGCAATGCATTTCACGAAAAAATCGACAAATGAATAAATTATTATTAAAGTAGACTGTCAAATAAAACAAAGTGTATTCAATAATAAGATTCAGATTGTGTAAATATGATACGTAGGAAAGACAACATATCTATACTTAACACATATCAAAACATATACGAAAGCAAGAGAAAAGGAAGTGAAGGAATATGTTCTTTTAATATTATTTTATTCTGTATTAACTTATAGTAATATATAAGAAAAGAGAACTTTTGTGTTTTGTCGTTTTATTTTCAACAACCTATTGCGTATCCATCAAGCTGACAATGTTACACTGATTACATAAAACTTTGCTGTATTGCTAATATTCGTTTCTTTTCATGTTTAGTTCTCGCTAGTCAATTAGTCCTAAGTTAAGGAAAACATGATTTTCTATCTACCCAACACATACTCAGACATGCCGTTTAATACAGAACGATATGACAACAAGATTTATAGATGACCAAGATAGATAACCAATATAACACACCTTATCTCAGGAAAGTCCGACGGACATCATTTTGGGATACTGTAATATCTTGGGGATATATAAATGTCCGCTGATTTAGATTCTACAGACATCCTTTTTAGTAACTTTTAGTTCCTCTTCAGAAACTTTAAATTTCTAAAAATTGTTACTAAAAGAGATATCCATATATATTCTCGAGATTCCAAAATTCTTCTGATATGACACCTTCAGACTCGCCCGCTGAGCGCAATTTGATTTATGCGTTATCTGCCCGAAATAAAGTATTTTCTATAATTTTATAAAATACTGAACTACAGAATGCAGTGACAAAACTGATCATCAGTGTACCACACACATGTGACATTGTTGACTAACGTGGTTAACAACAACAATGATAAACTTTGAATATTGTCGAACGGTTGAATGTTGTCCGACTGAAATAACTAAAACTAACGTCGAATAAATTATAATATAATATTCGCACAGATCTTTTTATTTCATTGATTATATAGTTGTATATATGACGGCTGATCAATTTTAACTAATGATCTGCCGATCATAGATAAGAAAAACTTTAAGTCGTTTAACCCGATATTGAAATGCACAACACCGAATAAGTATTTCCCCGTAATATGCGTAATAGTATTTCAAAGTTTATTCTCCGTGCACTTCACCCGGCTAGCTTGGAATAATGACACATGTTCACTGAATACGGCGGTTCGCCCTTTTCGCTTACCCACACCGTACCATTTTCAGCGTTCTGTATGAGATGGAATAGCGCGCGCAACACATTGTCGGACGCCTGTCCTGACCCAAATGACGTGTACCTTTCGGAGGTCTCAGGTTTGACAAAGTCCAACAGTAGATATTCGATCGGATGATCGTTGACCAACGGCGTTAACGTGAGTCCCAGACATAACGTGACGATGCGAACTCCGGTGTTGTGATAGAAGTTCGCCAGGGACTGGCTGAAGCCGACAACTGCGTGCTTCGTGCCGCAGTAGATTGGTACCATGCAGTTCTGCGCGCTCAAGCCGATTGTGGACGCGATGTTGATGATCAAACCACCTTTACCTCCCTTGTGCTTCCCCATGTACTCTATAGCCAATAGTGAGCTGCGTATCAGCAATGTGGTATTCAGGTCGATCATCTGCTCCAGCTTATTGTCGTTCAGCTTCCCGGCGTTGTTCACGAGGATGTCGAAGTAACCGAACGCGTCTACGATCTTCTTGAACGTCTCCTCGTACTCCTTCACCTTCGCTATGTCGCAGGGGAAAAAGACGACGCGACTTTTACCGTATTTGCTCTCGAACTCGGCAATTTTCGCCCGAACCTGCGACGTTGGCAAGTCCACAACGGCAACATTTCTCGCGCCGTTCTCCAGTATTATCTTGACGAATTCGCTGCCCAAACCGCCGCGTCGGCTCCACCGATGATCATTACAGTTTTGTTTTGTATATTGTCCATTGTGCAAGTACAAGTTCTATTGCTTATTTTCCTTTATTGTGAACCTCGCGCGAAGAATCGAATAATCGTGGTGCATTTATCCACGTCGGCTTAAATGCCGCTAATAGAATTATTATAGAAATCAGAATACTTTGTCTATCTTGTGATATTCTAAACGTGTTTACGTCTTATTTTGAATTATTAATAGAAGTTATTTTTTCATCGGTCATCGTCGCAACTGTTATGCTAATAAAAAATATATTTTGAGATTCTAATCACGGATATAAATAATAATGCACAGAAACAGCTGCATAATTCATAAACCGGCAAATAAACAATTTTTCTTAACAATTCAAAGTAAGACATAAACATTTTCTGCTTGTCAACATTTGTATGCTTATCAAAGTTTGTGCAAGATAACTAAAGATAGAAAAGAAAACTTGGAGGAAGAAAAAATGGTGCTATGTAAAACAAAACGAATACTTGATATTTCCAGAAGTAATTTATCATTCATTGATCGGTGAAATATGAGTAAAGAAATATCTGTAGGAATAAAAGATATAATACAAAAATATTTGTAGAGAGTAAAGAATAGTATATTTGTTGTATCAACAGTCTACAATGCACTTCTCAAAAAAATTGAAGAACGAGTAAATATTTATTAAATTACATTGTCATATAGAACAAAGTGTATTCAGTATTAAGATTCAGATCACGTAAATATAATACATAGGAGAGACTTATATATCTATATTTAACGCATATCGAAATATATACGAAAGTAAGAGAAAAGGAAGGGAAAGAATATATTCCTTTCATATTATTTTATTCTGTATTAACTTATAGTAATATATAAGAAAAGAGAACATCTGTGTTTTATCATTTTATTTTCAACAAGCTATTGCATATTCATCAAGCTATGACAATGTTACACAGATGACATAAAACTTTGCCGTAAATTATATTCGTTTCTCTTCACGATAGGTTTTCGATAGTCCATTAGTTCTAAGTTAAGAAAAACATGTTTCTCCTATCTATTCAACACATAGCCAAAGATATCGTCTAGAACGGTATGACAATAAGATTTATAGACGTAAGAAAAGAAACATAAAAAAGCGAATCACAGTATAGAATTCTCGGGAATACAAAATTCTTCTGATTCCTTCAGATCTGCCCGCTTGCGCGATTTGATTTATGCGTTATCTGCCCATAATAAAGCATTCTATATAGTTTTACACACTACTGAGCTACAGAATGCAACGACAAAACATCGTCAGATCAATGTATCACATATGTGACGCTGTCGACCAACGTGATGAACAACAATACTGAACTTTCACCGAACAAATGTTGTTTGATTAAAATAACTAAAACTAACGACGGATAAATTATAATATAATCCCACAGAACTTTCACAGCTCTTTTGATTTCATTTATTATACAATCACATATATGACAACTGATCAATTTTCACTAATGCTTTGCCGACTATAGACAATAAAAATTTCAAATTGCTTGACCCAACGTCGAAATGTCCAACACCGAATGACGAAAGTATTTCCCCATTACACACGTAATAATATTTCCGAGGTTAACCCCTGTGCATTTTACTCGGCATGCTTGGAATAATGACACATTTTCACTGAGTACGACGGTTGGCCATTTTCGCTTACCCAGACAGTACCGTTTTCAGCGTTTTGTATGATATGCAATAACGCGCGCGATACGTTGTCAGGCATCTGACGCTGTTTGATTGACGCCAAGAGCTTCTCGCAGGTTTCAAATTTGACGCAGCCCAAGATAACATTCTCGAACAAACCGTTGGTCATCGGCGTTGCCGTAAACCCCGGACATAACGTGACGATGCGTACTCCAGTGTCGTGATAGAAGTTCGCCAGAGACTGGCTGAAGCCGACAACTGCGTGCTTCGTGCCGCAGTAGATTGGTACCACGCAGTTCTGCGCGCTCAGGCCGGCTACGGACGCGATGTTGATGATCAAACCACCTTTATCGCCCATGTGCTTCCCCATGTAATCCATAGCCAACAGTGTACTGCGTATCAGCGATGTGATATTCAGGTCGATCGTCTGCTCCAGCTTATTGTCGTTCGCCATTCCGGCGTTGTTCACGAGGATGTCGAGGTAGCCGAACGCGTCTACAATCTTCTTGAACGTTTCCTCGTACTCCTTCACCTTCGTTATATCGCAGGGGAAGAAGCCGACGCGACTTTTACCGTATTTCCTCTCGAACCTAGCTACCTTCGCCCGATTCTGCGATGTTGGCAAGTCCACGATGGCGACCTTTTTCGCGCCGTTCTCCAGTACTATCTTGACGAATTCGCTGCCCAGACCGCCGGCTCCACCGGTGATCATCACGGTTTTGTCCTGTACGTTGTCCATTGTGCAAGTGCAAGTCCTATTTCTTGTCTTTCTTTCTTTCCTTCACGCGAGGAAGAAGCAAATAATCACCATACTTATCTACGTCGGTTTAAAT